CCTGTTACTGATTTACGTGAGTACACAGCAGGGTCTGAGCCTTGCCCGTGTGTGTGTGTGTGTGTGTATACAGCAGGGTCTGAACGTTGCCTCTGTGTGTGTGTGTGTGTGTGTGTGTACAGCAGGGTCTCAGCCTTGCCCGTGTGTGTGTGTGTGTGTGTGTGTGTGTGTACAGCAGGGTCTGAGCCTTGCCTCTGTGTGTGTGTGTGTGTGTGTGTACAGCAGGGTCTGAGCCTTGCCCGTGTGTGTGTGTGTGTGTGTACAGCAGGGTCTCAGCCTTGCCCGTGTGTGTGTGTGTGTGTGTGTGTGTACACAGCAGGGTCTCAGCCTTGCCCGGGTGTGTGTGTGTACACAGCAGGGTGTGAGCCTTGCCCGTGTGTGTGTGTGTGTGTGTGTGTGTGTGTGTATGTGTCTGTGTTTATGCAGCAGGCATAACTCTGATCCTCAGCCTCCGTCGTGTACCCTTGTTATACAATGAACTCCTGTAAATCAGTCACCGCTGAAAACCCTGAATGGTGGGTGAGAGAGAAGTTGAAAGAGCAAGTTACAAACAGAAGAATTCCGGTGGCCATGAGCTTATGAAGGACACACTTCCACGCCTTGCTGGCCACCAAAAAAATTTGACTTTTCTTCAACATTTGCATTTATTTCAGAATAACAACAAGAGAGCAAAGACAGAGAGGTGTGCAAACAACACCACTGGGAAGAAAACCACGGTACTGAAGCTTTTTTTGCTCCGCCCCAGGCTTGGGCCTGCGTTCTCTTTTTAAAAAATAATTGGGCCGGGCGCGGTGGCTCACACCTGTAATCACTTTGGGAGGCCGAGGCGGGTGGATCACGAGGTCAAGAGATCGAGACCATCCCGGTCAACATGGTGAAACCCCGTCTCTACTAAAAATACAAAAAATCAGCTGGGCATGGTGGCACGTGCCTGTAATCCCAGCTACTCAGGAGGCTGAGGCAGGAGAATTGCCTGAACCCAGGAGGCGGAGGTTGCGGTGAGCCGAGATCGCACCATTGCACTCCAGCCTGGGTAACAAGAGCGAAACTCCGTCTCAAAAAAAAAAAAAAATAATAATAATTGGCAAGGCCGTGTGTGGTGGCTCACACCTGTCATCCCAGCACTTTGGGAGGCCGAGGCGGGCAGATCAAAGGGTCAGGAGTTCTAGACCAGCCTGGCCAACATGGTGAAATCCCATTCTACTAAAAATACAAAAATTAGCTGGGCGTGGTGGCGCAAGCCTGTAGTCCCAGTTACTGGGGAGGCTGAGGCAGGAGAATCGCTTGTTCCCGGGAGGTGGAGGCTGCAGTGAGCCGAGATCGTGCCTTGCCCTCCAGCCTGGATGGCAGAACAAGACTCTTGTTTTTTTTTGAGACGGAGTTTCGCTCTTGCTACCCAGGCTGGAGTGCAATGGCGCGATCTCGGCTCACCGCAACCTCCGCCTCCTGGGTTCAGGCAATTCTCCTGTCTCGGCCTCCCGAGTAGCTGGGATTACAGGCACGTGCCACCACGCCCAGCTAATTTTTTGTATTTTTAGTAGAGACGGGGTTTCACCATGTTGACCAGGATGGTCTCGATCTCCTGACCTCGTGATCCACCCGCCTCGGCCTCCCAAAGTGCTGGGATGACAGGCGTGAGCCACCGCGCCCGGCCGAGACTCTGTTTTTTTTTTTTTAAATTGATAATACTGGGGACAGTGGAACTTTTCTTAGCACAAAGTTGTGACTGTGTCCTTGAGGTTGCCGGGATTGGTGTTCAAGGGAAAGGAAAGCGGTTCTCATCCCGGGATTTGGTGCTATGTACCCTCGGCCTGTTGTCGCCGAAAGTCACCTCCAAGACAGCACCCCGAGTGCCCGCTCCGGGAAGCCTGCCGGGGACTGTGTGTGAGGGGAGGGCGTGGTTGCACCCGGCCCCTGGAAAGCCCTGCTCCACCCGCCGTGCCAGTCGGTCCTCCGTTTTCTCAGCCATGACCCAGGCTGTTCTCCCTCCTCACTGCTGAATGCACGCGCCCACCCAGAGGAGGGTGGCACCGGGTGCTGCGTTCTGCAGGGAGCCGGCCTGGGTGCGTGCCCGGTACAGTCCCGTGCCAATGTGCTGCCTCTCTGGGCTCGTTTTCTCCTTGGTGAGACGGGGGTGGTACCAGGGAAAGCCTCTGGCAGGACAGACTTTGGGGGTGACTGGGAAGATGCTGCCCAGCCCTGGGTCCCGTGTTTGCCCCGGCCGAGCGGAGGCCCGTTGCCCGTGCGTGCGGTGGCATCTGGTGGCCACGTGTGGGATTGCTGCTCCTCCCCGGGGCGCCGGGGACGTCACTCGCTCAGGATGGTTGTTGAAACTGTTCTGGACGCTCCAGGAAGAGCAGGCGTGACCGAGATCGTCACAGTCGCAGTCGGAGTGCTTGTGCTAATGCGGTGAAGAGGCAGCACCGAGGCTGGGCGCCGCGGCGGCTCACGCCTGTCGTCCCAGCACTTTGGGAGGCCGAGGCGGGCGGATCCCTTGAGGTTGGAAGTTCGAGACCAGCCTGGCCAGCATCCGGAGACCCCCGACGCTACTAAAAATACAAAAATGATCCCGGTGCGGTGGCCGCCTGTAGTCCCAGCTGCTCAGAAGGCTGAGGCAGGGGAATCGCTTGAACCTGGGGGGCGAGGCTGCCATTGCACCACGGCCCTCCAGCCTGGGCCTCACAGAGCAAGATCGTGATCCATGTGAGTGAACAAACGTTCCCCCGTAGGTTTAGATGGACAAAGAAGGAAGCCCTGCTTCAGACGAGGTGATCTCTAAGGGGACTCTTCAAGGCAGCATGCACGTGAATTGGGATGGGGTTACTGAGCCCAGCACCGAGGGGCCGTGTGGTCACGAGTGTGGGTGTGAGGAAGGGATGGGGAGGGGACCAGCCTGGTGGGCCCAGGGAGGGGGACCTTGTGGCAGGGAGTCTCCATCCTGAAGCAGAAGCTCCGGGGGCCCACAGCCCCACCCGGGTGGCTCTGACGGTGCCACCGGGGACAGGAGAGGGGCGTGCTTCAGTGGCGTGTGGCTGCATGACCAGCAGCCCTGCTACCAACTAATGGGGGGCACTAGCCACTCCTTGGGATTCTCTGTTCTGCGCTGGACGTCACAGCTGACGGGGGCACTGGCCACTCCTCGGGATTCTGTGTTCTGCGCTGGACGTCACAGCTGACGGGGGCACTGGCCACTCCTCGGGATTCTCTGTTCTGCGTTGGACATTTCCTCACTAGGGAGCAGGACGTTTACTGCTCCGCGACAATCTCTCACAACTGTTTGGACCGAGTCGTTGCTATGCTGCGTCTCCGTGACACGTGGAATCGGCCCTGTCCCCGCCCCCCATAGGCCTTCATGACAGGAGCTGCCTCAAAATGAATCGGCTGGGGGGCGTTTTGGAGACGCAGGGATGCGTTGGACGGCAAACTCCTTCACTTTTTCCTCTCTCTCCTCCTGCCGTTTTCTTTTGCAAGAACCTGAGGCGCCCAGAATTAGGTGAACGGTGATGCCTTACTTCCATCTGCCTGTTCATTGACCCATTCACATGCTCATTCCGCAGCCAGGGAGTAAGAATGTCCCCAGTGACTCCCAGCCACAGCCCCACGAACAGCGGCACCTGCTACGGCTGCGAATCAGACTTCTCGTCTTGCTTTCTTGCTTTTTCTTTCTTTTCTTTTTTTTTTTTCTTAGAGACGGGGTTTCCCCATGGTCTCAATCTCTTGCCCTTGTGATCTGCCCGCCTTGGGCTCCCAAAGTGCACGGCTCTGAGCCACCGTGCCCGGTCTTCTTTCTTTCTGTGGCTGAGTCTCACTCGGTCCCAGGCTGGGGTGCAGCGGCGCCATCTCGGCTCACCGCAGCCTCTGCCTCCCAGGTTTAAGCGATTCTCCTGCCTCTGCCTCCTGCGTAGCTGGGACTACAGACGCGCACCACCACGCCCGGCTAATTTTTGTATTTGTGGTAGAGAGGGGGTTTCACCATGTTGGTCAGGATGGTCTTGAACGCCTGACCTCGGGGCCTCCCAAAGCACGGGGATTACAGGCAGGAGCCACCATGCGCCATGCCCGGTTTGTGTGTGTGTGTGTGTGTGTGTGGCAGTCTCACTGTTACCCAGGCTGGAGTGCAATGGCATGATTTCAGCTCACTGCAAACTCTACCTCCTGTGTTCAAGGGATTCTCCTTCCTCAGCCTCCTCAGGAGCTGAGGGTGGGGGAGTGGGGGGGCATGCCCCCACAACTGACTAATTTTTTTCTAGAATTTTGAGATGGAGTCTTGCTGTGTTGCCCAGGCTGACGTGCAATGGCGCTATCTCTGCTCACTGCAACCTCCGCTTTCCGTGTTCAAAGGCGTCTCCTGCCTCAGCCTCCCGAGTAGCTGGGATGACAGGCACCTGCCACCACTCCCGACTAATTTTTGTACCTTTAGTGGAGACGGGGTTTCATCATGTTGGCCAGGCTGGTCTTGAACTCCTGACCTCAGGTGATCCACCTACCTCAGCCTCCCAAGTAGCTGGGATTACAGGTGCCCACCACCATGCCCAGCTAATTTTTGTATTCTTAGTAGAGATGAAGCTTCACCATCTTGGCCAGGTGGGTCTTGAACTCCTGACCCTGTGATCCACCTGCTGGGACTGTAGGCTTACGCCGCCACGCCCGGCTAAGTTTTTGTATTTTAGTAAAGACGAGGGTTTCACCGAGTTGCCCAGGCTGGTCTCAAACTCCTGAGCTCAGGCAATCTGCCTATCTCGGCCTCCGGAAGTGCTGGGATGACAGGTGTGAGCCTCGGCGCCCGGACCTGGCGTGTCTTTTAATAGAGGCCCCTGCTGACCCCTCAGGTGTCCTTCCTAAACCAATCCCAGACTGACCCCGGATCCCAGCACAAGCCCAGGTGACCGGCATTGTGGACAGCACGGGGGTTAGAATGTGGGCGTGGGGAATGTGGGGGGCGTTCTCCTGTCTCCACGGTGACCACAGACACATTTGGGTGTATAAGGAGTGAGGCCGCGGGCTGGGGAGCGACCTGTGTATGGGGGACGCCAGGCAAGGGCGGGGTTCACTCGTCAGCCAGCACTCCGAGGCCGGGGGTGCGTCAGAGAAGGAACTGGACGGCGACCCCCGCGGCCTCCAGAACTCTGTGTACGGGAGCCGGCGGGTCACAGACCCCAGACTCCAGGACCTGGGCCATGCAGAGCTGGGCCCTGAAGACCCAGAAGAGGAGCTTCCCCCTGAGGAGGGGGCCGGGGAGGAGCTCCTGGAGACCCTGGACCCCAAAGACGCCCTTTCTGAATTGGAGAGAGTTCTGGACCAGGACGCAGAGGAGGACATTCCTGAGATGAGGTGGGCACCGGGGGGCAGGGGCCTGCCCGGGCACGGGGTGGGGGTAGGGCTCAGCCCCTGGCCATGGGGGAGGCAGCAGCCCCCACACCCACCAGTCCCCAGGGCAGGGGCACATGAAAGTCTTGTTCCCAGCCTCTCCCTGGCTTGCTGCTCCCAGGGGTCCCTGCTGAGGCAGCCCAGGTGTTTTCCCTGGTCAGAGGGCGGCCTGGGCATGGGCTGGGTCAGACGGTGGCCAGCACCCCTCCCTGGGCTCCAAGGCAAACGCCAGCAAACACTTCTGTTCAGTGGCAGAAGGTGGAGTAAATGAACTTTGGAGTCAGGCACACTGAGTTTAGGCGCCCAGAGTTTGGAGTTCACAAGTGACGGCCTCATGTCAGACAGAGAGAAAAAGAAATGGGAAGAAAGAATCTCCCAATTTGGCCGGGGGAAGTGGCTCAGGCCAGTCATCCCAGCACTTTGGGAGGCCGAGGCGGGCGGATCACAAGGTCAGGAGTTTGAGACCAGCCTGACCAACATGGTCAAATCCCATCTCTACTAAGATTACAAAAATTAGACAGGCATGGTGGCACATGCCCGTGATCCCAGCTGCTGAGGAGGCTGAGGCAGGAGAATCGCTTGAACCCGGGCGGCGGAGGCTGCAGTGAGCTTAGATGGCACTATTGCACTCCAGCCTGGGCGACGGAGCAAGACTCCCTCTTTTTTTTTTTTTTTTTGAGACGGAGTTTCGCTCTTGTTGCCCAGGCTGGAGTGTAATGGCGCAATCTCGGCTCACCGCAACCTCTGCCTCCTGGGTTCAGGCAATTCTCCTGCCTCAGCCTCCTGAGTAGCTGGGATTACAGGCACGTGCCACCACGCCCAGCTAATTTTTTGTATTTTTAGTAGAGACGGGGTTTCACCATGTTGACCAGGATGGTCTCGATCTCTTGACCTCGTGATCCACCTGCCTCAGCCTCCCAAAGTGTTGGGATTACAGGCATGAGCCACCGTGCCCGGCTGAGACTCCCTCTTTAAAAAAAAAAAAAAAAAAAAAAAAAAAAAAGTCTTCCAACTCAAAAGTTGAAACGATCCCAAGCACCACAGGTGTCTAAAACGTTTTAAAAGGTTGGGAGAAAGATGTTCTGGGTGAACTCATGATTTGGTGAGTCGGAACCAGGGGCGGTGATTCCATGATTTGGGGCAAGTTGCCCACTGACCCCAGCAAGGAATTCACGCCTGGCGCCCCTGGGGCCTGCTCCTCCGCCCGCAGAGCGTGGTCTGCGCCCACGTCCATGCCCAGCTGCCCCTTCGCACGTGGGCCCTCTTCTTAGGCCTTTTCCCCAGCTGCGTCCTGGGCGGCGGAGGCCCATTTACCGGCCAAGAACTCAGCGGCCGCCCGGCTTTCACGGGCTGTGCCGACCTGCAGAGAAAACAGCGGGGTGTGAGGGGCTGTGTCAAGGAAGGACACAGGGGCAGGGAGGTGGGCAGAGGTCCCGGTACTCAACTCCGTCGCCCGCTGCCTGGTCCCCCCGCAGCCTCTGAGCTTCCCGGGAGGCGGAAGCTGTGCTCTTTGTAGGTCGGTTGCTCCTCTGGGGCCTGGGACACAGGCGTTCCTTGATAAATGCTTGTGGGTTGACTAAACATCACCTCAGCACTCACTCAGGCAGCCCCCCGGGATGGGGGACAGTCTCACCCCCGGGTTCACAGAGGAGGACACGGAGTCCTGGGGAGTCAGGAGACCTGGCCGGGGTCTTCCATCCGCACACCTGGGAGCTGGGTTCAGTCCAGGCCAAAGTCCTCCCGCTGGAGACCCCTGGTGGGAAAGGAGATGTGTGAGGGTGGGGGTGTGGGGTGGGGGGTGCGGTGGGAGGAGGGGGAGGTGTGAGCAGTGGCGGGGTTGTGGTGGGGGGAAGGGGAGGTGTGAGCGATGGGGGGTGGGGTGGGGAGTGGGGAAGGCTTGAGTGGTGGGGGGTGGATGGGGGCGTGTGGGGGGAGGTAGAGGTGTGAGCAGTGGGGGGTGGGGTGGGGGTGGGGGTATGGTGGGGGGAGGGGAGGTGTGAGTGATGGGGGTGGGATGGGGAGTGGGGGGGCTTGAGCGGTGGGGGTGGGTGGGGGCATAGTGGGGGAGGGGGAGCTGTGAGCAGTGGGGGTTGGGGTGGGGGGCATGGTAGGGGGAGGGGGAAGTGTGAGTGGTGGGGGGGCACGATGGGGGGAGGGGGAGGAGGGGGAGGTGGGGGAGGTGGGGGAGGCACGAGCCGAGTGGGGGTGGGGGAGGCGGCAGATTAAAGGTGCTTGCGCGAGGCCCCTACTCCTCTGGCTCCCAAATGCCTTGGGTGGAAAAGCAGCTCCAGCTTAGACGTGGAATTCTCCCGAAGCCGGCTGTCCATCAGCCAGAAGATCCCTGGCACCGCCGTGGCCAGAGCGAGGAAGAAGAGGCGGCGGCGGCTGAGTGAGCTGGCAGAGCCCAAGAGAAACTGGCAGGTCCTGAAAGACAGGTGAGGACCCGCTGGCTGGCCACGGGGCGGTGGGGGCAGGGCAGCGGCTTCCTCTGCACCCTCCCAGGCTCCCCCTGTCCCCGCGGCTGACTCCGCACCCCCAGCCCCCACCAAGTCGGACGAACTTAGGGGCTAGCTGGCTCCGGCCAGACACCAGGACTCGCTGGGAACTCTGTTCTCCGGCGGTGGCCGGTGAGGAGTCCGGGAGCAAACGGGAGGCCCAGGGCAACAGGCAGTGGGGGCTCGGCCCTGTCTCCTCGCAGGAAGGGCTGCCGTTGTAGGGGCTATGCCTGGATTTCCCCATGCCAGACGAGCCTGCAGTTCTGTCTCTACTGGTAAGTCCAGGGCCGTCTCCCCCATCCGTCTGTGCTGGGGGACACGTGGCAGGTTCCAGGGGCCCCCTTGACTCGGCCACCCTCTTCTCTCCAGGGAGAAGGATGGGGGGGCTCCTCAGGTCCGGGGCTCTGCGCCCCCACGGCTGTTCCTGACTTCAGCCTTGTGGCAAGCCGTTCTGATCTCGGTCTGCTCCCAGGGGCGGCCTGGGCTTTTCCCCAGCTGCCTCCTCCTCTGGACACAAGCCTAACTCAGGACAATCCGTGCATCCCGGGGGCCCTGCAGTGGGCTTCCCTGGCCTTCCCCTCTCCCTGAGACTCCTCGCCTGCCCTCGGCCTCCCTCCCGGCAGAGACCCGGGCTTCTTTCCGGCGCGGCCTGAGCTCTCTGCCCGCTTCCCTGAGCCACCCGCTTATTCTAGGCCGTCTGTGTACTGGATGGAGCGGTTCCTGGAGGACACCACCCTCACCATCACAGTGCCCGGTAGGTGCAGCCGTGCCCGCCGAGGCCCCTGCCCGGCCGCTGCGTCCAGATGCTTGTGGCCTCCCCTGGCCACCTCCACAGAGCCTCTGTCCTCGCCGCTTCTCTCTGGGGTCCCGCTCTGCCGTCTGTCCCCTGAGGAGCCAGAGCTGCCTGAGGTGGTCCTGGGGGCGACGGGGTGGGGCACACTCTCCAGGGTAGGAGTTGACTTCACTGTCCACAATGTGTCCACGCTTTTCTTCTTGAGAGGAATCTGGTATTGAGGTATCACAGATACCTCCGAATGAGATGTTTCAAGAAAGTTCACTGTAGCGGCGGCTAACAGAACCGCTCCTGAGGATAGACCCTCGCCCACTGCCGTCACTGTCAACCCAAGGCTTGTACTGACTTCAGAACAAAACCCACTTTCCCAGCCTGCAGGTGGCTGGATCTGTCTCGAGCGCCATGGAGGGGCCGTGGGCCAAGCTGCCACCCACCCCTGCCACTCACAGCAAGGAGCTTGAGGCCTCTGAGCCCCTCATCCCTAAAACAGGGACAGGATACCCCCTCTCTGCAGGGAGCCTGGTCCCCAGTTGTCTCTGCTCATAGTGCCTCCAGTTGAACCTCCTGCCCCGGCCCATGAAAAGCTGAATTCCTCGGGCAGAGGCCCCTGGGCACCACAGGGCATTTACGCTGGGGTTCACCAACTCCGTTTCCCATTTGCACAGAGGTGTCCCGGAGAGTGGAGGAGCTGTCTCGGCCCCGGAGATTCTACCTGGAATATTACAACAGCAACAGGTGGGGAAGGAGGCCGGATGAGACTATGAGGGCAGAGCCTGGCAGGTGGGGAAGGAGGCCGGGTGAGGGTCTGCAGGCACAGCTTGGCAGGTGGGGAAAGAGGCCGGGTGAGGGTCTGTGGGCACAGCTTGGCAGGTGGGGAAGGAGGCCGGGTGAGGGTCTGAGGGCACAGCTTGGCAGGTGGGGAAGGAGGCCGGGTGAAGGTCTGCAGGCACAGTTTGGCAGGTGGGGAAGGAGGCCGGGTGAGACTCTGAGGGCAGAGCTTGGCAGGTGGGGAAGGAGGCCGGGTGAGGGTTGAGGGCAGAGCTTGGCAGGTGGCGAAGGAGGCCGGGTGAGGGTCTGCGGGCACAGCTTGGCAGGTGGGGAAGGAGGCCGGGTGAGGGTCTGAGGGCACAGCTTGGCAGGTGGGGAAGGAGGCCGGGTGAGGGTCTGAGGGCAGAGCTTGGCAGGTGGGGAAGGAGGCTGGGTGAGGGTCTGCGGGCACAGCTTGGCAGGTGGGGAAGGAGGCCGGGTGAGGGTCTGAAGGCACAGCTTGGCAGGTGGGGAAGGAGGCCGGGTGAGGGTCTGCGGGCAGAGCTTGGCAGGTGGGGAAGGAGGCCGGGTGAGGGTCTGTGGGCACAGCTTGGCAGGTGGGGAAGGAGACCGGGTGAGGGTCTGCGGGCAGAGCTTGGCAGGTGGGGAAGGAGGCCGGGTGAGGGTTGAGGGCACAGCTTGGCAGGTGGCGAAGGAGGTTGGGTGAGGGTCTGCGGGCAGAGCTTGGCAGGTGGGGAAGGAGGCTGGGTGAGAGTCTGCGGGCACAGCTTGGCAGGTGGGGAAGGAGGCCAGGTGAGGGTTGAGGGCAGAGCTTGGCAGGTGGGGAAGGAGGCTGGGTGAGGGTCTGAGGGCACAGCTTGGCAGGTGGGGAAGGAGGCTGGGTGAGGGTCTGCGGGCACAGCTTGGCAGGTGGGGAAGGAGGCCGGGTGAGGGTTGAGGGCAGAGCTTGGCAGGTGGGGAAGGCGGCTGGATGAGACTCTGAGGGCAGAGCTTGGCAGAAATGCCTTATCCTCCCCTGTCTGGGCGCAGAGGTGGGGAGGGTCCAGGTCTAGCCCTAGACAGCCTGCGTTCGGATGGGGCTGGCCCTCTTCCCACCCCCAGGCTGCTGGGCCCCTGGCAGCCGCCTTCCCGGCCGTAGAAGGCTGGTGTGGAGGCCACCCGTGAACGGGGCTCACAGTGCCCAGATGCTGTTATCACCATTATTACTGTATGTTGTTGACTCAAAAAACGTAGAAATTATAAGACACGTTATTATTTTACGTACAAAATTCTTTCTTATCACTTAGAGACCCTCTGCTTGTTAGAAGTGTTCTTTTTTTTTTTTGAGACCAAGTCTCACTCTGGGGACAGAACTCTTGTTCCCCAGGCTGGAGTGCAATGATTTGATCTCGGCTCACTGCAGCCTCCGCCTCCCGGGTTCAAGAGATTCTCCTGCCTGCCTCGGCCTCCCAAGTAGCTGGGACTACAGGCACGCGCCACCACGCCCGACTAATTTTTGTGTTTTTAGTAGAGACAGGGTTTCACCGTGTTGTCCAGGATGGTCTCGATCTCTTGACCTCTTGATCCTCCCACCTCAGTCTCCCAAAGTGCTGGGATTACAGGCATGAGCCACTGCACCCGGCCTAGAAGTGATCGTTAGTTTTTTAGGCCCAACCTAGAACCACCAATCTTCACACAGTGTATAAAGGAACGCTCCTGAAGGACACGGCGGAAGTGTGTCCAGCTATTCTGACCCACTTTTCACTCAGATGCTGATGGGGGAGTCTCACACACTGTTTCACCCCTGTATTTGTGCATAATAACTTTTTAATACCAAATCATTTTGTAATCTGAAGACAATTTAAAATACCAATAAATCTAACTCCTGGCCGGGTGCGGTGGCTCACGCCTGTAATCCCAGCACTTTGGGAGGCCGAGGTGGGCGGATCATGAGGTCAGGAGATCGAGACCAGCCTGGCCCACATGGTGAAACCCCGTCTCTACTAAAATATAAAAAATTAGCCAGGCGTGGTGGCGGGCATCTGTAATCCCAGCTAC